ACTCCATCGATCGATGTACACCATGTACCATCGATCGATATGATGCGTGGAGAACAAGTCCGACTTGGCCGACTTGAAGCCCAAGTCTTCCCAATATTACAATAATGCCCCTGACGAGTTTTTAACCTAATGGAACTCATATTTATAGTTTTTTTCCATTGTGTTTGGCTAGACATGCTTTTTATGCTTTTTGAAGGCTTTTAATTGTTCTAGTGCTTTTTGTACTTTGTTTTATTCTATACTTAGCAATAAAGTATTTCTTTTCATCTTAATTTCTTAAAGGTTATAGAATTCTAGATTTAGAAGAAACACACAAAGAGATTTGTTCTTCCAAGAACCAAAAGTTCAATCTTCTAATCTAATGAATCTCTATTATTACCTTGCTGTTATGAATCTCTCAGCTATGTCTGAGTAGATTTCTTTGTTAGATTTAGGGTTCAAATAGTTATGAGGGATTAGCCCCAACTATGGAATGTTGAATTGTTGATATTCATTATCCAATTGAACCCTAATGCTTACTCTAGAGTAGCTACCTAGAGTATGATCATGGATGTTATCTAACTTGTTAATCATTGTCCTGAAATCATTTGGCATAAGCTTAGATCCTCTAGGGTTGTGCGAGAGCCGGTCTATGATCTTGGTGAACACAGTTTCGATTCGATCTTATGCTATATCGATCGATACTCCTATAGAAATATCGATCGACATTAACCCATATCGTCTGATATCGCTGTCAAAACATCGGTCGATATTGGCAATAAGATCAATGGATGAGTCTATTTAGCGATTGCTATTAGATCTGTCTAAGAATCGAAGTTCTCATATATCTTGCAAGCAATTCATTAAAACATCTATAGCATTATAATCCTAATTATCTGAATAGCAACCTTGAATCTAACTACTTTCTTTTATTGTTTTAAACCAAAACCCATTCTCTTAACCAACTTACCATTGCTTAGAAAACTGCAATTTACTATTTTAAACCTAATCAACCTAGCATAATCACTTAGGTTTACATCTATTGTGTTCCTTAGTTCCCTGTACATTCGATCCCTAAGTACTACAACTGAACCTCTTATTTGAGAGAGTAATTCACTTCTTAGGGTTAAACATTTGAGTGATATCACTGGTGGTCGTATGTGGAAAGAGCTGTTTGAGACTGAAGATGTAGACGTTACTGTAACATAAGTTTTCGAAATGCTTCAAGAATCAAATCTTCCTCAGTGGAACTGTTTGCCATAAGCGCTCATTGCGCTTGTTGATGGCCTGCTAGTTTGAAGTCACAAACATCTCCGATGCACGCCGGTATTTGTTGAAATGCTTGCAGACTCGGAACATTTCTTCAATATCCTTGGGGAAGAGAGGCATTTCTCACCACTTTGTCGAGATTGATACCGCCTGAACCTGCTTCGCCTTCTGAAGTTGGTAAATCCCTAGGAATAATGCGGAAACGTCTAAATCAGAAAACAACTGCATGCTATTGTTTCCCTTTGGCGCTGCAATTGTTGTCTTTCAAATCTATCTCTGCTTTGTTAAAAACAAATTCCTGAAGCTAATAAGACGACAAATTTCTTGAAAGATCCCGACGGATGCAACTCAAGAAATACACTTCTTAGCTTTGAAGAGACAGTTCACGTTGAAGCTGATTTGGAGGTACACTATACCATCTTTATAATATTCACAAGTCAGATGAAGAAATTGTTTACAACTTTTTTATCATTCCCTTTCAATGCTGTTAGGTTTCTGTAATGTTTTCACTCCGAGATGAAAGTGGGGATCCAAAGTGGGAGGAAAAAAGAGCAGACCCTCGAGTTGCTCACTTAGTTAGTCTTATGCGGGAAGGGCACAAATTCAAAGCAACAGGTTTCAGTGGTGGTGATTCAACCCTTCCACCTATCAAACCCACTGAAAAGGTTAGGGTGAAAGGTGTTCGAAAACCATGTGCTAAGTCCACTAAGGGGTTTCACAAACACTTTATGAACCTGCTACGAGTCNAAGAGCAGACCCTCGAGTTGCTCACTTAGTTAGTCTTATGCGGGAAGGGCACAAATTCAAAGCAACAGGTTTCAGTGGTGGTGATTCAACCCTTCCACCTATCAAACCCACTGAAAAGGTTAGGGTGAAAGGTGTTCGAAAACCATGTGCTAAGTCCACTAAGGGGTTTCACAAACACTTTATGAACCTGCTACGAGTCCGTCGCTGTGTGGACCATCTCGTCCTAGGCGTGATCTTAGGAAAGAGCCTGATTCAGGAAACGTAGTAGATAACAATGAAGAGTTCAAAGGCTGGATCCCAGAAGAGATTAAATCACAGATCCAAAGATTGCGTGATGAAATTTATAACTGGATACATTCCAACGTAAGGTGTGGCCATCCAGATAATGCAGAAGGCACTTTCACGGTTCCGCAAAGCAAAGAGGAAGGCAAAAAACCCATGCCCAACACTGCTGATGATTTTACTGGGAGGGATATCTAAAAGAAACGATGGTATAACAGTGTTGATAGAACTGATGAGGCTGACATTTGTGGGTCTGCAAGTAAAAAACCAATGAGAAACTTGGTTGATGGGTGGACGATGAGACAAGAAACTGGGACAGTTTCCTTGATGATTATACCCCACATGATGGGTTTGTTGACGAGGTAAGAAAGTGTTTAATTTTCAACTTGATTTGGTAAGAAAAAATACATGACAAATGACCTTTTAGGTGAATGAAACGGTTGATCGAGGACTTAAGTTCGCAGGTTCAACGGCTCCTCCACCTGAAGAAGTCATGAAAACACCGACATCAGAACCAAATGTTTTGAAAGAGGATGAGGTGTACATCAGGTCCATTTTGTGTTGATTAAATTTAGTCGTTATGTGTTGATTAAATTTTTTTTTGATAGGTGTAGAGCAAAAGTTCGTTATATGTTGATTAAAATCTGATATTTAAATCGATAGGTAAACACAATTGAGAAGGGCCCTATGTCAGGCATAAAGTTGTTAGCAAAGGAGGTTGTAAAGGCAAGTCAGAGTGAGCAGGTAGACAAGAAACCTGAGGCGGAGAACAAATGTAAGGTTCTTGTCATTTGAGGGGAACCAACAGCTTATGTCCTGGGGAACCAACAGCTTATGTCCTGCCAGTTGAGGTAACGTTTTATTGTAAGATATATGTATTGGATCATGATAATCACTCGTATATTGTGTTGATAATCACTCATATATTGTGTTGATAATCGACCCTCACATTGTGTGACTCTGCACCACAAGATACTAGACGTCAAAACCCACCCTCTCCAACAAATTCTGAAGATTACAAGACATCACCAGACGATGATGCTCCAACATCAACAGAAGAAGAAGAAGAAGTGACATGCATTCCAAAGAGCTCAACCAAAAAAGGGAACTTGGGGGGAAGCTGATTCCACAATGGTCAACCAAGATTTGAGGAGTGTACACCCAAGACGAGAGATTAAAAAAGCATTTCCAAAGCTCCAAGAAACTTAAGTATACGCCTTTAACAAACATGGAGAAAGGCAAAATTATAGAGTTTCAGAAATTACTCTGGCAGAATCCAAAGTAGTAAGGTTTATTAATATGTAAAAATTTTGCTTATAAATATAATTTGCTTCTTTTAAATATGGCAGTGAATTTGAAATTGTTACTGGGAGTGGTGTCTCAAATCAATTCTTCATGTCGTTGGCTAAGCAAACAAACTGGATCTCAACCGAGTTATTCAAACGATGCAGCTATGCACTTTTAAGATTTCATGGACTTAATGTTTGTTTTTTTGGGAAATTTTTTCAGCACATTCACGTTATAATTAGTATACTATGGAAGCAGCATGGAAGGAAGTATCTAAATCATAGGTGTAGCTTTGTCGATTAGTACTCTATTGCATGCATCCATTCAAGGTACACATTGTTCGAGAAGGCCACAGATAAGTTGAAATACGAATGGGGTGGGCTCGTGGGGTTGCTTAGTTAGCGGAAAAACAGGTCGTCGTGGGGGGGGGGGGGTAGGAAGATGGAGTTATTACGCGATGTCGACAGGATGTACGTCCCAATGATGTGGGGAAAGGATCATTGGATGGGCCTTTTAATCGACCTTGTTGCGAAACATGTGGAGATCTTGGACTGAAACATTCCTCATAAATTTAGTACATTAATCCTCTACTACGTTCAGTTCCCTATGTTTTAGCTGCGTTCCTGCCTCCAACTGTGTGGGCTACACCTGGAGATGATGAATCTTTTACGTGAAAGTGGCTAAAAAACCTTTACTACAACGCAAGATCTGGAGACTGTGGACCCTGCGGGGTTAAATTCCTTGAAATGCATGCAGCGGGATGTAGTTATATGGACATGCAGCAGATCGATGGCAAAAAGGTAAACAGCTTCTGTCAGAAATACGCGATGGATAACTATGAGGAATTCATTAGGAACGCCAAGATAGCAAACAATGGTTAAGGGTTTATTCAGTTGATGACTGTTTGTAGACTTTGATGACTCAATTTGGTTACAATTAAACTCGTTAATAGTTTTATTTTTGATATTGGGGTTATTTCTATTTTAAACTGTCAAATAGACGTATGATGGCACTGGTGTACACTTTCAACGTCTACACATCATAAGTTTATAACTCTTAGTTGTACACATATGATATTTCGACTTTAAAATGTTGACATTGAAAAATTATATATATGACCTTGGTTCATTCCCTATGAAAAATTATTAATATGACATTGGTGTACACTTTAAAATGTACATCTGAAGGTGTACACCTATGACATGTACACCTGTGAAGTATATGGACTTTCATACTAAAATTTTGGGATTTTCCTACTTTCTTTATGATTTATGTTCATTTCCATTGTAAAATGTTCAGAACATAACATAACATAACATCCAACATAACAATTGCAAATTTCAAAACAAGATAAGATCCAACATACAATAATATAAAAGTTCAAACAACATAACATCGAACATAATATGAAACAATCTTTTGAAGTTCAGATAACATTACTGACTATACTTAACTAATTCCTTAAGCTGTTTCATCTCTTCACGCATTTCACTTATCTTATATTCCATCTTACAAAGCCTCTTTCTCACTTCAGCAGCTTCCTTCTTAACCTCCGTCAACTCTTCTTCCATAGCAAAAACACATCGATGACGAATATGCAACCCGTCATCCTGAAAAGTATATCATAGATGAGTTAGGTGGGTAAAACGATATAAGATTATCAATTTCAAAGGAATTAATCTTACCTTAAACGAGTTGCATTTGTAGTAACTGATGCCTTTCTCGTTAGTTGCCATAGTGATAAGATCACCGCACACACATTGTTTGGTATGCAATGGTGAGCGTACCAAACCATTTCACGCCAAGCATCTTCCATTTGGCTTCCTTCATGTCGGCATAGTAAGGATCTGTCTTTGTGGACTGTTAAGGCGAAGGAAAGCTAAAGTTGCGGTTTTTGATAACTAACATAATTGTTGAGAACACTTAAATAAGGGAAAACCGGGCAATCAATTCCATTGTAATGGTAATATTCCCTTAGAAGCTAATGGCTACATTTTGAAACATTGAAAGCCAACAGCTACATTTCAGTGTTTAAAATTTGAATTAAAGTCATGGATTGCAGGGCCTGCATAATTTTGCCTGCAACAAACTGGGCGTGCATAATTCGGCATCCATGAAACTAGGCCTGTATAATTAGGGATTAAAGTTAAGGATTAGGGTTGAGGGTTTAGGGTTTAGGGTTTGACTGGTTTACGGTTTAGGAAATTTCATTGCAATTTCATACTTTTTCGGATTTTATGTTCTCCCATGACAGATAGAGATTCTTAAAGAAGATAAATTTAGTGAGGAATTGGGCCTGCATAATTTGAAAATTATTATTTAAGTTCAACTTGTGATGTTTATACTTTCTTTATTATTTATTAGTTATGCCGGTCCATTATAACTTGACATTATGCACATATTAAAATGAACACTAGGTCTTGTACACCAGGTAATGTACACCAGATTTATTGTATACCGACTCTTGTAGAGAGTTGCTGGCCCATAAAACTTGAATACGAAATGCTGGCCTATTATTACATGAAGAGCAACCTAATGCCTCGTCCTCATCCTCCGGGTCCCCTTTGTTCATAGCCTTGTGAGAGGACGAACCTTCGCTCTAGCGG